ACGTAGCATTCTTACAGATAGGGGGCAAAAATATCATAATACAGTGCAATAGAAAATAGGAAAATTTATTGTTATAAAACCTATTAATTGCTAGAGTAACGTACCCTTTGAATCATCACTGAAATGTAGTGGTAACAACCATTCAGATAGGCAGTTTTAAAAGGGAATTAAAGTTTTTAGTCAGCTATGGCTAAAATCTAAGTTAGTACAGTACTTTTATGGGAGATCACTGTTGTCTAGATAATACTATTAAGTAAAAAAAAAGTCAGAATAAAACAATAGCAAATCTTTTTCATACAATTGTAAAGAAAACTATATGGACACGTTCATAACATTATGAAGAGTTTAAATCGAAGGCAGCTTTACATTATATACAAACAAAATTACAAATTACATTGCATACAAAATGCAATGATTATTAATACTGTTAACCTATAACCACTGCCAGATCTCAATTAAAATGCATTTTCCATCTCTGTAAGGCATTTATTGTGGCTCAGCCGGCAAGACATAAGGTTATACCATTAATTTATATCATTATAAATAATTAAATTCATTAGCTGCCATGCTATAGCATGCTAATATTTTTTCTCCTAGGGGAAAATAGTAATTAGATAAGTGTTTCTCTCTCTCCCTGTCTCTCTTTCTCTCTCTCTCTTTTTTTTTTTTTGCATAACACCAAACCTAACAGGTATCTGACTCTATGTCTGTATTATATTATTGCATGCAGAAGTCGAATCTGTATTTAGATAGTTATTAACTGGTGTCATGGTATGCAGCAACAGGATATAACAATCACTTCTGAATTGTGACTAGTCTTGCCCTTTAGAAGTGAAGCAGAAGATTGTGTACACCCATCCTTGTTGTCAAGGTGAAGCAATTAAGCAACCATTTGGCTTCAGTTTTGGAAAGTTTGATGGTAAAATAATGCAATTTCTTTCTTGCTGCACATACATCCGTGTTGGGAACCATCATCTAGTTGTGGCTTCAAAATTCAGAAACATTAAGATTTATTTTAATCTATTTCCTTGATTGTCATGAATATAGTGCATAAAACGAAACACGCCCACCTAAAAGTATTGTGCTTGACGTCACCCAGAGTAACTTTTTTTGAGATGGGCAGCTATATAAATTTTCTAAACAAACAAAACAAAAATCATGTGGATTGACTTCACACAGCCTGTGAATAATGATCCTGGCTTGGTATTTTTCTCACGGGACACGCAAAGTGTAGGGTTTTTATGTCTCTTTTTGCATTTTCCTTTGAGCTCAGAACAGAACTCTGGTAAATAAAGTTTTGCTCTGAGCTATTGTTACGGAATGCTAAACATGACTTTACATAAACAAAAATATATTGGGAAAGAAGAAAAACATGGTAAAAATGCATGGCAACAAAAAGCCATGACTGGCCTACCTATAGCCCAATTAAACCATATTATAGCTTAGTTTACTGTGTAAACAAGCCAGGGATGAAATCCAACAAGTTCTGACAGGTTCTGGAGAACCGGTAGCAGAAATTTTGAGCAGTTCAGAGAACGAGCAGTGGAAATTTTGAGTAGTTCGGAGAACTGGCAAATACCACCTCTGGCTGGCCCCAAAGTAGGGGTGGAAATGGAGATTTTGCAATATCCTTCCCCAAGGAGTGGGGAGGGAATGGGGATTTTGCAGTATCCTTCCCCTGGAGTGGGGTGGGAATGGAGATTTTGCAGTATCCTTCCCCTGCCACACCCAAGCCACGCCCACCAAGCCACGCCCACAGAACCGGCAGCAAAAAAAATTGGATTTCACCACTGGAACAAGCTTATACCTGGCTTTCACAGATATTTTCAAGGCAATAAAATAATCATAATGCTAATGGACCTGCAACTGGAATGTCATGTAGATAGTAAAAAAATGAAATGAGTGGTCATACTAATAAAATGACCCAAAATAAAATTTTAAGTTCTATTGATCACCAATTCACGGTTATCAGAGCTGCAAAACTCTAAATGGCAACCAAGAAGTAGATCTTTCTGTATCCCTTTACTAGTTAGTTGTTGTCCCAATTGCAGCCCAGAGCTGACAACCTTAATTAATCAGATTTTTCACTGTACTCTATGAATCAACTATAGCCAGGCATGTTCAGACAGACGTTTTCTGTGCACTCTGATCTTCAAGGGCATAACTGGGAGGACTGAATGGGCATCATAAAAGAAGGCAGCAAAGATCTTGTTACAAAGGGAGGCCGAGATAGCTTCTGCTCATTCCTGTGTGGCCAGAGACAAATGTCCTTGGAAGCGGAGAAAATAAGGCTTTTTGTGCTACAGACAAGTGAATTAATTTCATTCAGGCCAGGAGATAATGAATTTGTACGTCATGGTGGGTGGTTAAGCAAGCCAGACATGACCAAGCATGTTAGGAAGTTATTTTTAAGGCTGGCAATGTAATCTGGTTCAAACAAAACTTCCGTCAGCAGATTCAGGACCAGGCTTGCATTTGTAGAAGGCTGCATTAAGCAAGGAGCATGGACAATTTTTACCTTCACTGATTTGCAGTGATGATTTGTCCTGGTCTGCTGGATCCCGACTCCTGCTCATTCTTCATCTTTGAAAATCAATTGTAAACTGAAAATTGTGACCAGAAACTCTTGAGTTCCTGTATCATGTAAAGCAGTGGTGGGTTTCAAATTTTTTTACTACTGGTTCTGTGGGTGTGGCTTGGTGGGCGTGGCATGAATTGGTGGGTGTGGCTTGGTGGGCGTGGCAGGGGAAAGATACTGTAAAATCTACATTCCCTCCTGATCAGCTGGGACTCGGGAGGCAGAGAATAGATGGGGGCGGGGCCAGTCAGAATTTTTACTACCGGTTCTCCGAACTACTCAAAATTTCCACCGGCCAGAACCTGCTGAAATCCATCTCTGATGTAAAGGTGTAAATTGGTTGGATTTAGTTAGATCGATTATTGGTAAAGCATAGTGTATAGCTCAACTCAATATGTAAACCTTGTGATTCATCGAATGACACTTAACCCAAATCATAATTTATTCAATGAGTGTGTACTCACTCCCAAATTTGGTGATGCTGGTAGTTATAATCTGAAATAGTCTCTGTTATGGCCCTTACTTTGCAATATTCATGAAGTTTCAGATTGTTCATTAATCCCCAAAATTTATTATATGAAGATAACCAATGTTGGCCTACAAACCAGGAGATAGTAAGTTCTAGTCTTGCCTTAGCCATGAAAGTTGGCTGGGTGACCTTGGGCCAGTCACTGTCTCTCAGGCCAACCCACCTCACAGGGTTGTTGTTGTGGGGGGAAAAGGAGGAGGAAGTATATGAAATATGCTTGCTGCCTTGAGTTACTTATAAAGTAACAAAGGTGGGATAAGAATCCAATAATAAATACTATTTCAATTAATAGTACTATGTATAATAATAATGCATAGTCTTGTCAACCTTTGGAGGTCAATAGAACCCTGTCCTAGAAAGACATTCTGAGAATTGAGTAAATCTATTTCCTTTTAGTGGTTCGAATCCCTAGTGCTGCGTAATGGGGTGAGCTCCTGTTACTTGTCCCAGCTTCTGCCAACCTAGCAGTTCGAAAGCACGTAAAAAATGCCAGTTGAAAAATAGGGACCACCTTTGGTGGGAAGGTAACAGCGTTCGGTGCGCCTTTGGTGTTTAGTCATGATGGCCACATGACCATGGAGACGTCTTTGGACAGCGCTGGCTCTTTGGCTTTGAAACAGAGATGAGCACCCTCCTAGAGTCGGGAACGACTAGCACATATGTGCGAGGGGAACCTTTACCTTTATTTTCTTTTAAGGAATGTTGGCTTCCAACTAATTGGTCAAAGGGATGTAGTTCAATTTTCCCCCCACTGAACTTTTATTTAATTTTGGCTTGTATTTTTTACTACACACAGCCCAGACTCTTCATATTTAAGCAAATAGTGAACAATACACATAGCTTAAGGTCCTATTATCGGTTTGTGTTCCTTCACCTTGGTTTCATACTTGTTTGTCTGGTAATACAACTCCTACAAGGAAAAAAGAAAAGCTTGGTTAACACCAACTACCGTAAATAATCAAAGTCGTGTCTACCGCGACTACCGAAAACAAAGCATACCAGCCGTCGCACGCTCAAGACTTTATTGTTTCATCAGGCTGGCCTGACCTAAGTCTTTCCCCTTTTTAAATGGAAATTTTAAATTTGGTTTTAAAGTATTGGGGTTTTAAATTTGTTCAGCCAAATTATTTAATTCGTTTTATTCTATTTTAAATTTTGTATTTACATTGTTTTATTTTATGGCTGTTCACCGCCCTGAGTCCTTCGGGAGTAGGGCGGTATACAAATTCAATAAAAACAAAAAACAAAACAAAAACAAAGGAACGCTGCGCTTGAGAAAATCCACACGACCACTAGATGGCAGCAAAGACGGCAACAGCCCAGCGTAACAAGGACACGGAGCTTTTCCCCTCTTGCACGTGTGCACGCAAACACGCATCTCCCTGGCTCTCTTTTTCATCGCTCCCGTACGCTTTCCATGCGCCTTTTGGAATAATCAAATAATTCCGACATCGATTTGGAGAGGCGGACGGAGTTTCGCAGATTGGGAAATTCTCTGAGGTGGAAACTTGTCAGCCTGTTTGGTAAACTTGGTCAAGGCACTTGCTGAAACTTCAGCCTATTGAACGTAGTTAAAAAGCACTTGATTTTAGGGCAGGGTTTCCAAATCCTTCCCATCAAAACCGCGTCTCTTTTATTTCTCCGTCCTCGTTCAAGCCTGCAATGCTGGTCTTGGGGGCACTGGGGTCGGGGGGGGGCAGCGGGGGCTCCATTTGAGGTAAGCAAGGCTTGCGGGCGGCCGAGGCTCTCCTGACGAGAGCGAAGCGCACGCCAGGGCCGGAAGGTAGCCCGTTGCCCCCGCCTCTCCCTTCTCTCGCTCTCAGCTGGAGCCAACCTCGCCGGCCTTCCAGAGCCGGAGCGGGGGAGGAGCGAAAGAAAAGGGGCGGAAGTGCAAACAAGAGCTCGGGGCGAGAGGGCTTCGGCTTGGACTTTGCCTCCTTTCGCGCACGGCGCACGCCAGTTTGGTGGGAACCGCTCGCCCGTCTTGCGCTCGCCTCTCCAGCCTCCGCCTTGGAAGTGAGTCGCGGACTGGGGTTTTTTTTTTTTTTTTTGCTGAGGAGGGAAACAGGGACGGAGGGAGGGAGTGGGAGAGGAGCCCCCTCCCCTCTTCCTCCCCCCCCCACCGAGGCAGTAGGGAAAGGGGGTCGCGGGAAATAAAAAGGGGGCGAAAGAGGCTTTTGCGCGCCTTTAAAGCGGACCGGCGCGTCCGCGGTGGGCACCAAGGCGCTTCCCGCGGCACCTTGCGGAATGGGAGGGCTGGGTGGAGGGAGGCGCCGGCTAAAGTTTGCACGGAGTTTGGGGACTGAGGGGGAGCCGGGGAAGGAAAGGGGGTGGGGGGGTGGGGGAGCTGCTACTACGACCGGAGCGCCCTGGGCAGAACCAGACGGAGCTAAGAGAGGGAGAAAGAGAGAGAGAGAGAATCTTTCCACCGCCCTAAACCCGCTGAAGTCCCTTCGTAGTTCCGTCGCGAAACGTTTCCCTTTTTAAATGTTTTTTTTACAGCCGTCCCCTCCCGTGGCGTTGCTTTTTAGCAAGACGTGCCTTTTTGAAAATTGCTGCTGTAAGGTGTCGCTTCTTCGATTCCCGACCTTTCCCCCCCCTTTTTTAAAAAAAACTAAGAGTTGAAAAGCAGCAACAAGTGCCCTTTAAAAAAAAATAGTAAAAGAGTTGGAAGGGACCTTGAAGGTCATCTAGTCCAACCCTGCTCACGCAGGAGACCTGTGATCGACAAGCTCAGGGTCTTAGCCACTGAGCCACCCAGTCAGCCACCCTGTTTAATATTTGCTTGGTACCCCGAGATTAGTTTGCTCAGATTGTGGTTTTTCTGCTTTTCTCTCCCCCTTTCTCTTTCCCTCCCTCTCTCTCTCTCTCCCCCTTTTCTCTCCCTCCTTCTGTTGGGGGATTCCCACACCTCCTTTCCTCCCTCCCCAGTCCCTAACTCATTTCATCAACAAGACTTTTCCTTAAGTGGCCCGACTGCCTGCCTGTTGGTAAATCAGTAACTAACAGGGCATGTTAAAAGACAGTGGAAATAAAAGAAAATCAACAGGGCCAATTTTTTTTTTCTTGTAGTAGGGCGCTAAAGTAAAGCAGACGTGTGAGAAATTTGCTTTATTTGCTCTTTGGGCTCAAAGCTTTTTTGGCAGCTGTGACATAATCTAGACCCATTCCATATATTGTGTATTTCCCCCCCCCCCAACTTTGTAGCTCTTGATATATTGTCTTTCAATGTAGGGCACCAATTGGTAACATTTCTTCAGATGTCTGCTTACTAAGATTTAACGGAGCTCTGGGGTTTCTCTTAGTGCATGCAGATAAATGAAACTTTTGCATATGTTATGTGTGCATAGTTGCACATATTTGAAGCTACCAATTTCTTCCCTTGCTCTTGTTACCGGGAGGAAAATGTAGATTTCCTAAAAGGATCCATCCACAGGCAAGCTGTTCAAGCACGTTTGCTATTTTTTAGTAAATTTCTGATGAGTAATACTTTCAGGTGCTTTTTCAGTAATACTTTCAGGTACTATATGAAGTATTTGCTTGTGAGTGGAATAAGAATAAGCATTTGGAAGGTATCCCGGTGTCATGAAATAGATAGGATTATGGATTTAAAAACCATTGGTAACTATTTAATATTTGATTAGTTCCAGTCTCCTCTGTCCTCCCACAATATCTGTGTGCTAAACATCAAAATGATATCTAAGGCTAGAAGAAAAATATTCCACTTTCCAAGAAACTTTTTAAAGTGTTTCATTAATGCCAAGTAACTTTTGCACATAGATAGACTGTTTATAATAGTTGTATGCTAGTGTGTTTCTGCTATAAACCCTAGTGATTCCTATATGTTATTCCAAACACTTATTACAAGTTATTCAAAGTCAGTTAGCCTTAATTATTATTAATTATTAAGGTGGTGTTTCAATCCATTGATTCATATAAAGGGAACTGACAGCCTTCTGAAAGACTGTGATCCAGGATTGATTGAAAGGCCTTGCTGTACTTTGAACTTCTGCTGTCTGCATTCCTAACTATCAGTTAGGTTCACCCAATATTATGATCCTAATTATTGGATGGTCAGTTGGTTATGGCTTAAGATTTGCAAATACTGTGTAACAAATGGTTGCTTGTTCAACAGATGATGATTGGACTAGGTATTGCTAGGTATCACCTAGCATATGTGTAAACATACTCTATCTTGTTTCTATGGCTGACATCAGACACTAGAATGTTGCTAGTTCAAATCATTGATCCCAGAGACTGTATTTTTAAAGAAAAAAATTGTCCAAGAATATTTCTCTTGGAAATACAGTACAGTACCTTTAGAAATATATCATATTAAAAGATTGTGCCGAGTTGTTGTAACTTGGGTGGCATAAAAATTTAACAATAAAGATTTAAATTTGCATTCTGATCAGTCCTAAATAGGGTTTGCTGTGGCTGACTGGGGAATTCTGGGAGTTGAAGTCCACAAGTCTTCAAGTGGTCAAGTGGAGATCCCTGTGCTAATGTTTAGACAGAATCATGAGCCCCTTTCCATAATTTCTTTTTAACATTATGTTAAGTTAGAAAAAAAAAAAAAAACAAGATAGGAAAAACATGCAAACCATTCCTTCTTGGAATTTCTTACAATCCCTTTGCCAGCAATGGATATAAAGGAGCCTGAGTGGCGTAGGAGGCTAATGCCTCCTACTAAGGCAGCATTTAACATCCAGCTGCCTGCAATTACTGCGAGTTCAATTCTCACCAGGCTCAAGGTCGACTCAGCCTTCCATCCTTTCTAAGGTGGGTAAAATGAGGACCCGGTTTGTGGGGGCAATAAGCTGACTTTGTATAAAATATACAAAAAGTATGAAGGCTATTGCTTAACGCATTGTAAGCGGCCCTGAGTCTCCGGAGAAGGGCTGCATATAAAAATAAATAAAAATAAAAAATAAATAAACAAAAAAGCTCCTGCATTTTCTTTGTTGCCATGAAATAACAGGTTGCCTCTGCATAGGTACATTTGGTACATTTGGAAGCATCAGACAGGCTGTAGATGGTCCATGGTGGGTCATAACTATCAATGGTGGGTTTCAATTTTTTTTACTACCGGTTCTGTGGGTGTGGCCTGGTGGGCGTGGCATGGCTTGGTGGGGCTGGCTTGGTGGGAGTGGCAGGGGAAGGATACTGTAAAATCTCCATTCCCACCCCACTCCAGGGGAAGGTTACTGCACAGAATACATGGGGGCGGGGCCAGTCAAAGGTGGTAGTTACCGGTTCTCTGAACTACTCAAAATTTCCGCTGCTGGTTCTCCAGAACTGGTCAGAACCTGCTGAAACCCACCTCTGATAACTATAGAAGGGAAACTACAAGTGTGGTAGTATGGGTGGGTTGTTTGGAATGGAACAGTTTGCAACATTTGTAGGGGCTGCCCAACTGCATCTCTGCTGGTTATGCACTGGGGAAGTATTTTGTGATAGGTTTTCCTTCACAGCCCTTGTAATGTTATTTGGCCTATTTTTGAACTCCAGCTTTCTTTTGCTGGCACTTCTCTCTGCACTAAATTTAGGCACTTTAGTTTTTGGACAGTTATTCTGTGATAGCTAGACAGATATAAACCGACCTCCTCTAATTTATTTCTAAAATTCTGTTGGGCTGGAAAGACTAAAAAGCTTATTTGGCATACTGCTTATTCATTAGTCTGCGCTCCGAGCCTTCAGCTAATTTATAGTCTGTTTTGATCATAAATTGTGTTTTGTGGCTTAGTGCAAGGAAGAAACCCAGTCATTCTCCATCACTCAAGATGAACCAACGGGGAAGGAGTTAACTATTACCTCCTCCTGATAGAGAGAGTAGAGTAGGGCTTTTCCACTTTCCAAAACAGACCTCTCGCTGTCAACCTTAATTCTGCCTTCTATAGAAAATGGATGGAAAGGAGATTCAAGGAACTAGAGATCAGATTGCAATGGCCCATGCCATCTGTAATTGTGATGTGCTTAGACTGAGTTTCAGTGAAGAAAAGGCCAAATTACACTCTATTGAAGTCAATACTTGCAAATGTAATGGGGAGATTTCCTCATGAAGGAGGAAGCAGTCTTAAACCCTGCCTTCTAGCAGGCAAAGGTGGAGTTAACACTTTCCTATCAGGTTCATTTTCCAATGACCAAAATAGTTTAGACCACAGTCCTGACCTATCCCTCAAGCCATATTATATGCATAATTTTATTTATTTATTTTGTCATGTTTATATAGTGTATATTGGAAGTGGTGACCCTTTGAGACCTGTATGCAACAAAATTTCATTTTAATGTATGCTGATCAGTGTACATTTAATGTGACAAAGTTATTCTAAGTCTTCTATGGCTAAATAAGCCATGACTTAATCTTGTTAAGGGTAGACCTCCATGCCACAATGGAAGCTAACTTGAATTGCAGTTATTTCAGGCAAACCTCACGTGTTTTCATAATGCATCCACGTAAAGCATTTTCACTTTGTGAGAGAATGAAATACGTTTGCTAGAGGTAGAGTCATGGATATTGTTAAATTTAAATTGTGGATATTGTTTAAAGGTAAAAGTAAAGGATCCCCTCGCACATATGTGCTAGTTATTTCCAACTCTAGGGGGCAGTGTCATCTCTGTTTCAAAGCTGAAGAGCCAGCACTGTCCGAAGACGTCTCTGTGGTCATGTGGCGCACGGAACGCTGTTACCTTCCCACCAAAGGTGGTTCCTATTTTTCTACTTGCATTTTTTACGCGCTTTCGAACTGCTAGGTTGGCAGAAGCTGGGACAAGTAACGGGAGCTCACCGCATTACGCGTCACTAGGGATTCAAACCCTGAACTGTCAACCTTTCGATCGACAAGCTCAGTGTCTGAGCTCTAGTTAATCTAGAGTCTCTAAACAATACCCATGACTTAAATTTATTCTGCATTTTACTCCTGAAATCTGTTTTCAGAACAACTTTGCTCAAGGAGAAGAATGAAAAATAAAAAGGTGGATGGTAATATATTGATGACATTAGGGCTGGGTGTTTTTACATTTTGAGATGCTTGTTTGTAGGTTTTTTTATGTCCCCAATTTTCTGCTGATAATGACACTATAATAATACAAGTAATGCAACACTGGCTCATTTGTGTGTGTATGTTTTGGGAGCAAGGGGCAATTCAGAACCTGCAAAAGGATCTTCAGAGACTTCATATGAGCTGAAAGCTGAGAACCACTAATTCTGACGAAGACATTCATGATTTCAGTGGCTATTGTCTTCTTGTTTGCACGAAGACTGTAAAAAAGGAAGCTCTTCTCAAAAATCAGGTCAAGGTTGAAAATGCCCGTTTTTCTTGAGACATCGTGGAAAGCAAGAGATCAGTCATTCTGCAACTGAGTTGTTTGTATAGACAGGAAGAGAGAGAGATCTCCTTCCCTGGGCCTAGAAGAAAGAAAATAGACTGGCTTGAATTATTGTTGTTGTTAGTTGCGAAGTCATGTCTGACCCATCGCGACCCCATGGACAATGTTCCTCCAGGCCTTCCTGTCTTCTACCATTCTCTGGAGTCCATTTAAGCTCACGCCTACTGCTTCAGTGACTCCATCCAGTCACCTCATTCTCTGTCGCCCTCTTCTTCTTTTGCCCTCAATCTTTCCCAGCATTAGGCTCTTCTCCAGCTTGAATTATTCTTTCTGCTAAATTGACATTTGTGCTTTTTTTGGTTCAGGCTAGCTTGATGTGTGAATCCAGTCATTATGGCTTATTCAACAAATAATTAAAACGCATCCTCCTTTTCTCCCTATGGAATGTTCAAGATTCCTGGAAGGAAGTATATAAAAGCTGATTGTGTGGTTGTCCGTTATACATTTTGAGGGAAGCTTCCTGGTTTCTATGATTGTCCTAGATCAGGGGTGTCATATTCGATTTCGTTGAGGACCGCATCAGGGTTGTTGTTTGACCTCAGGGGCTGGGGTAGGCGTGGCCAGTTCGACACTCATACCGGGGGCGCCTGTGGTGGCTTGAGCGCTCTGCCAGCGAAAATGGGCTCCCGAGCTCCATTTTTGGCTGCAACAGCCTCCTGCAACCCTCTGCCAGTGAAAATGGAGCTTGGGAGGGCTGTGTGCAGCCCTCGCGAGTTCTGTTTTCACTAGTAGAGGCACCGCAGGCCGGTACTTCACTGTTTCTAGGACAGCCCCACTGGCCCGATCTAAGCACCCCGTGGCCAGATCCAGCCCACAGGCCTTGAGTTTGACACCCCTCTCCTAGATTATATGCCTTGTATTAAGACATAAAGTGGTTATCCACTGTGGTTAGTGCAGTGTATGAACCCAGTCCGAACATTAGCATCTGAACTAATTATTTTGGATGTTTGGGTTGTGTTTTTTTCACATTCATAATCTTCATATGTCTCTTACAGATTGTTCCCCTGGGAATTACAACCTAACCGCAGAAGACCATGAATAACTACAGCGTTTCACTGGTGGGTCCAGCTCCTTGGGGGTTCAGACTCCAAGGTGGGAAGGACTTCAACATGCCTCTCACTATCTCTCGGGTAAGCATGTTTAAAAAGCCTTTTAAGTATCACCTGCTATATCATGTAAAGGTAGTTGATGACTTATATCTACAATTGACACCCACATTTCTGTTGCTAAACAATAAAGTTGTTAAGCGAGTTTTGCCCCATTTTACGATCTTTCTTGCCACGGTTGTTAAGTGAATCATTGCAGATGTTAAGTTAGTAACATGGTTGTTAAGTGAATCTGGCTTCCCCTTTGGCTTTGCTTGTCAGAAGGTCGCAAAAAGGTGATCGCATGATCCTAGGACACTGCAACAGTCGTAGATATGAATCACTTGCCAAGCATATGAATTTTGATCACATGACCACTGGAATGCTGTGACGGTGTAAGTTGAAAACGGTCATAAGTCACTTCTGTTGGTGCCGTTGCAACTTCAAACTTCGGTCACTAAATGAACTGTTGTACTACCTAGAAAACTTTGGCAAATAAAGTATTTTAATACCAATATTTTTGTTGGTTGCTATGATACCTCCTATGAGGTATACAGTTTTGGAGTTTAGCTGAACTTTAAGAGAATTAATGACTTGCTGGATATGCCAGGAGTGGACACTTAAGTAATTTTTCTTACCTAAAATTTTATTTCAAGGGCATGCTCATTTCCTGTTGATATCCACTGAGAGGAAATGGGCTTGGTTCATACTCTGGGTTAAGACCTGTGAGATTTGCCTAGTTTTGAATTGAAGTTAATCCAACTATTAATGGTAAACTGAGATCTGTGGCCTAGTGACAACTAATGTGATTAATTGTATAAAATGTCTAAAACACAGCATGACTGGAATCTACACATCCAGACACAGACTTTGTTAGCTAAATTTTGTGTGTGTGTAGACACACACACACACACACACACACACACTTTGAGCTTGGTTGTTTGCTTGTAGATGTTTCATTACCTAAACTAAATACAGGTAGTCCTCAATTTATGACCATAATTGACCACAAAATTTCTGTTATTAAGTGAGACATTTGATAAACGAGTCTTGCCCCATTTTATGACCTTTCTTGCCATAGTTGTTAAGTGAATCTGGCTTCCCCATTGACTTTACTTGTCAGAAGGTTGCAAAAGGGGATCACATGACCTCATGACACAGCAATATCAATATCATAAATATCAACCAGTTGCCAAGTTTAGATCAAAATCTGAATTTTGATCACGTGATCATGGGGATGCTGCAAAGGTCTTAATTATGAAAAACAGTCATAAGTCACATTTTTCAGTGCCGTTGTAACTTTGAATAGTCATCATAGAATTAGATTAGATTAGATTAGATGAATAAAATAGAATAGAATAGAATAGAATAGAATAGAATAGAATAGAATAGAATAGAATAGAATAGAATAGAATAGAATAGAATAGAATAGAATAGAATAACAGAATTGAGAGAGACCTTGGAGGACTTCTAATCCAACCCCCTGCTTAGGCAGGAAACCCTACCCCACTTCAGACAAATGGTTATCCAATATCTTCTTAAAAACTTCCAGTGTTGGAGCATTCACAACTTCTGGAGGCAAGTTGTTCCACTGATTCATTGTTTTAACTGTCAGGAAATTTCTCCTTAGTTCTAAGTTGTTTCTCTCCTTGATTAGTTTCCACCCATTACTTCTTGTTCTACCCTCAGGTGCTTTGGAGAATAGCTTGACCCCCTCTTCTTTGTGGCAGCCCCTGAGATATTGGAACACTGCTATCATGTCTCCCCTAGTCCTTCTTTTCATTCAACTAGACATACCCAGTTCCTGCAACCATTCTTAATATATTTTAGCCTCCAGTCCCCTAATCCTCTTTGTTGCTCTTCTCTGCAGTCTTTCTAGAGTCTCAACATCTTTTTTACATCGTGGTGACCAAAACTGGATGCAGTATTCCAAGTGTGGCCTTACCAAGGCATTATAAAGTGGTCTTAACGCTTCACGTGATCTTAATTCTATCCCTCTGTTTATGCAGCCTTGATCTGTGTTGGCTTTTTTGGCAGCAGCTGGTCACTAAATGAACTTTTGTACATCAAGGACTACCTGTAATGGCATCATTGCTAGATGATGCACTAGCGCTGAGGATGTTATCCAGTTTGGATAATGAAATGTTTGCAAGAAAATATCCAAATTCAGGCATCAAGGACTCCTCTTTCAGCCCTGGGCTACAAATATTCTCCTTTAGCAGTACACATGTGTTTGGGAGAGGCTGCTTTCACTGAACATCCTATATCAGGGGTCCCCAAACTTGGCAGCTTTAAGACTTGTGGACTTCAACTTTCAGCTGGCTGGAGAATTCTGAAAGTTGAAGTCCACAAGTCTTAAAGCTGCCAAGTTTGAAGACCTCTGTCCTATATCAATCAAGGAGATGGGTGGAGATTGACTGCTGAGGGAAGAAAACTGTGACCTAATTTGGGCTGGGTTGATCACTAAGTAGGGAAAATCCTACATTGCTTGTGAGACAGAAATGTGGCTATGGCTTGGGAAAGGGCAACTCTGTGCCGCCTTTAGCCAGAAAGCGTTTCCTGTTGCTATTTCAAGCTACCGCATTACTTTTTGCAAAGCCTGACGCTTTCAATAAAAAGGAAGCTTAAGTTACTATATAAAAAGGCCCTTATTGTGTGTGATGATAGTCCAACCGCAGAGGGAAGCATCCTGACCTTCTGGGAGCAAGCAGGTGGCTATCACAGTCAAAGGAAATATGAAAGAAATGCAAAAATAAAACATCACTGTTTAAAAATGTTTTTTTTTTGTAGCGAGTCCATGCTTTCAAAGAAACTTCACTGAGATATTTAAATTCGTCTTAGATTGCCTAGTTTCGAGTATTTTGTAAATACTCTCTTTAGAATAGAAGATGCTATATAGCCCTCTTGTTATCAGTTAAAGACGAAATTTATGAGCTCGTTGTTTTGTTTAAGGAAATATAGCTAACTAGATTGAACAAATCTATTGAAATGCATTCCCAATTGTGTGGTAGCTTTTTTTTCAGAATTTTTTCAAAATAAACTGCAATTCAGAATATGATGTCTATCAGGATAAAGTTGCTAGATCACCAAGAAGGGAATCTAGAACACAAAAGTTTTAAACAGTTGCAAAAATCATGCATGTTATCAGTACTGTCTGTTAATAAGTATCCATAACTATCTTGTGGATATGCTGAATATGTAAATTTGGGTAATTCGTGTTTTTTTGCTTGTATCATGAATAGATCTGGAAAGCAGATTAAATATATTATGTTAGTACCAAATATAATGTTTGGAATTCATTCTGTTTCTGAACATATTGTAATATTTTTGTTCTTTTTGTCCAAAATGGTTCATTGATTTAAGAATATACATTCATTAATGCTTGATTCACTGAACATTGACTATATATCTCTGCATTATTGTATCTCTATTTCTATATCTACCTACTTACCATCTATCTATATCAGGGTGTCAAACTCGTGGCCCACGGGCTGGATGCGTCATGCGCTGGCTACGCCTACCCCCGGTTTAGCGAAGGGGGAAAAAGTCACAATACATCACGTGACGACAACGTGACGACAACGTGACACCATGACTTTGACATGTCTGATCTATGTCATCTATTTATCTCTATATTTCTATTTGTTCCTATCTCTCTCTCTTTCTCTCCATCCATCCATTATCAATCATCTGTCTGTCCATCCATCCATCCATCATCCGTCCATCATCTGTCTGTCTGTCTCTATATCTATCTATCTATCTATCTATCTATCTATCTATCTATCTATCTATCTATCTATCGTTGATGTATACACTAACTTTATATAAATAGAGCGCAAATCCCATCCTCACTTGCACTGATGATGTTACCTAGTTGGTTAATAGTGGAAGATGTTATATTGTCCTCTTGTTGTCAGTAAAAGAAGAAACTTATGAGTTCATTATTTTATTTAAGGAAATATAGCTAATCAGCAACAGATTGAACCCGGGTAGATTTGATTTAAATCAAGTCGATTTAAATCACGTTTTAAATCACTAGTAAAAAGACTTGATTTAAATCGACTTGATTTAAATCATAATTTTTAAAGAGCACCTCTGTCCTGCAGCAACTCCTCCTCTAACCCGCTGTTGACTCACCCACAGTCCCATTCACTTTAATGGGACAGCTGGTGATGCAGCAGTGACACAACAAGGTGAGGGATGTGGCAGGAAGCAGGTGAGTGGATGCCCGCTAACAAGCACTGCCATGATGGATCTGAAATGACAGGTGCTCTTTAATATTATATTTATAAGCTGTTTAGAAGATTTCACTTTCGTTTTTACTACTTGCCTTTCCTCCTCACACTTAAAGCCTGGTGGTACAAATGCATTTCTCTTCAAACAATCATACAGTTTGTAGTGTACATAGATTTGCAAAACAATGGGATAAAGGAATATTCCTGAACTTCGTTTTATGATTTATCTCATGGTTGCTGTGAAATTGTGTGAATGCATCAATGCAGTGCATGTTATCTCAGCTTGCAGAGCTCGGATTCATTGAATGAGTTTACGAAAAATGTAAACATTGCAGAATATACAGCCTCATGCTACATAACTAAACTCCATTTCCTGCTGAATAAACTAAATTATTAATGTATCTTAAATAGAAAGCTGTCTTTGGATAGATTTTTACTCCAGAAGCATTTTATTAAAATAAATTTGATAAAAATTTAAAAAATCTCATTTAAATAAAAAAAATGATTTAAATAAAAAAAATCCATTTTTTTTTTAAAAAATTTTTTTAAGTCATCTATTTTTATCCACCCTGGATTGAGCAAATTTATTGAAATGCATTCACAATTGCATTGACAATTGTGAATGCAGACAACCAACCTCAGAGTGCCAAGGACTCCACAGTTGAACCCTGAGCTACAGATACTCTATTCTGTTGGAAGCTGTGATCACTTGTAATCTACTCTCCTGATTGAGAAGAGAGAGTGTGTTCTAACAGCTTTAATACCTGAAATAGATACCTTAGTACTTTTAAAAACAGTTGGACTGTTATT